CTAGGCCCGTATCATGTCATAAGCCCAAGTGTAGAATTCACTCCCAAAAGCCAACTTGTAGGAGGAGGGGACACCTAGACTTATAAGCCACCAACTTATAGTATTTTCAGCCGATATGAGAACATAACAATGTGGTAGTTAGAAATAATGATTTAAAACATTGTTTAAAGGTTTATAAATCATTTTTAACATTTATGAAAGTCCTAAAACATTAAAAACACTTAACAAAGAAAAGTTTGTTGTTAAAAGTGTATACGGTGGCCATTATAATCGATAAAAAAGAAAACTAAGTTAATGGTATAAAAGTCTCAACTATTTCAAATATTTGAATCTTTTTTAAAAGCTTATTTAACTATTTCATTTTCTTCAAATTTGTACCACCAATTATGCCTTAAACTAAGCACATGTTAAAATAATACATTAGGCTTGAGAAATTTGGTCAGTCATATAGTTCATATAATGGTTGTAAATCATACGGATAATATAAAAATAAACACAAATTTATATATTTAAAGGAACCTAATTTTCCATCTTAATAAAACATTATAAACTAATTCATAAACATCATATAAACAAAATAATGTATCAATAACACAATGTACGATTTAGAACAAAGGGCCCATAACCACAAGTTTTCATAGTCCATCTTTCCTTTGTTTCCTAATGTTTCTCTTCTTCTTCTCAAGGGATGATGAGTTAACGAAGCATACATATGAAACTAACACATATCATATTACCTAAATAGAGGCCCCAACTTATTTACTTCTTAGTATGTAACATGTGAACCATCACTCGTGTACCATGTGGATCATTTGCAAAACCCGAAACATGGTAAATGTTTTTTAGAATGTCGTTCACAACTTAATTATTTCGTCTCCATTTCCTTGATCAGATATCTACATCTTTTTAAGTGTCTAAGCCACACTAGTCATTCATGTGAACCATCACTCGCATACCATGTGGATCATTTGCAAAACCCAAAACATGGTAAAGGTTTTTTAGAATGTCGTTTACAACTTAATTATTTTAATTTCATTTCACTGATCAGATATCCAAAGTCTTTTTAAGTGTCTAAACCACACTAGTGATCATTCATGCAAACCTATTAGAATGGATGCAACATAATCATGATTCATGCAACTTCTAAAATGTTTTGAAACATATGTAAAACCATTTTAGAATACCCATTTTATAAAGTTTTTTCTTTATGACAATTTACTTGAATGGATGTATAAACAAGTGCATAACATAATATATAACAAACACATCAAAAACTAGGTAATACATAACACAATATATATAAAGTACATGAAAAACCAAGGTCCGACATCTTAGAGGGTACATATGCTAAATAACTATATATTAATTTGATTTTGACTAACACTTAACTATATTTTGAAATGGAATATAGATGTTTAATTTTAATTTGATTTTGACTAACACTTAACTATATTTTGAAATGGAATATAGATGTTTAATTTTGATAGTTTCAGTTTTTGAATATTGAGGCTCCGGTTGTAGACTATTTAATTTTAGGAATTTTGCTTTTAGAATACATAACTTTGGGAGCCTTTGATTTGTATTCAAAATACAAAGATTAAATTAAATCTAGAATTTTGCACACATGTGCTGGAAAGATATTGTGATAGATTTGCAATAACAATTTACCTTTTAAACAAACTACGTGCAAAAAACATTTTGTCACTAATTTCGTCGTTGATTTGCAAAAACTTTGTTGCTAATTATGTTGTTAATAGACAGCATGTCCACTGCTTCTGACAAAGAATTTATGGCGTTGGTCTCTCACGAATGGGCAATAAATTAAGGATCAACGATAGAATTGAGATGGGATTTTTCGCCTATGATGCCCATGTTTCTAGTAGTGAAAGAGATTGAGTTGTGTAGATATTGTCTGAAAGTGTTTTCATGTTCATATTCGAGTATATGGGGGAGATGGGCGATTTGGACCCCCATACGGCCAGAAGGGGGTTGCCTCAGGTTTGGACACAATCATATATAGGCTTTTGTCACAAATTTATTCATGATCTTGTAGTTAGGTGATTCACTTGGGTTGCTTATGGATAACATAGTGCGTTTAGAGCGAGTTTGGTATACTAAAGGGTGTGTGGTGATTCTACATCAATCTTCACGAGACTATGAGATTGGAGTATACATGTTAATGGAGCGTAATACAAGGGGACTAAACAAAGAATGGTTAACTTCATTCCTATGTTGTTCCCGAAAATAATCTATGGTGTCTAAGTTAGGGCTAGGAAGAGATGTGGGGGATGTTTTAGAGTAGGATTGATACAGAGGGAGAGAGAACTATATTTATGTAAACAATTGTTGTATTTAGTTGTCTTGTCATTGCAGTTATCCTTGTGTGTTTTTATAGATGAAGTGCTTGAGACATCATGATGATAGTTCATACATGGATGCGCTTTATTATCTTCATACGAGGTTTGCTATGAGTTTAACATATGTACATTAGTTTGTCATATAAGTAGATTTAGGCAATATAACGAAACACGTGCATATCTTGGTTGCTATTCATCAATCTACATATACGTGTTTTACACTTGGCCCATCTATAACCTCTGTTTAGTGCTCAGATTTAGATGTCGGTCCCCCATTATATAGCTTCAAGATTTTATTTATTTATTTATTTATTTCTTTATTTTTGAGTTAGAGTCGATGTGGACTTGAATTTGCCTTAAATGTTATTCTACATGTTTGTTGATTTAATTAGGAGGTCTTAGTTTGGTATCATATATATTACCATTTAGATGAGTCTAAGTGATTTGTGAAACAGGAAGATATGTTAAAACTAGATGATAGGCCTATAAAAAAACAGCCTTGAGCACATTGAACTTGAAAATAAGTTTTTAAAAGTTTTAATTTAGAAATTATTTAAACAAAATAATTGAACACAATCAATATAAGTTTCATATATACATAGAGTTTTGCACATCAAATAATAATGATCCATCTGAAAAATAAAATAAACAAACAATGAATGTAAATGTATGTATTCAAAATAATTATAAACAAATATATACAAATAACAACAAATATATTAAGCAAAAAATGATGTAATTAAATATAAACTGGTGGTCTAATCCTCTTTTTAAATATTTTATCTAATTACATATACATTTAAGGTGTTAATAATCTATAAAAAAATCAATTTTTAAAAATAACAAAAAACAAGTAGTTAATACATAAACATGTTAAATTGACTAAAAAATAATATTAAAATTACCTCTAATGAAGAGAGAAATTTCAAACTTTGATGAATTTATGCGCAACAAAGGATCTTAATGAAGAAGAAGAATTATTTCAAAAAAGTGTTTATGAAAATATCTTGAAAACCCTGAAGAGTTTTAATGATGCGGTTATAAAAAATAGCACCAAAAATCACGTTTTAAATGTGCGAAGTGTAAAACATTCGCATCAAAAAGTCGGGTTTTAATGGTATGTTTGAGATGAAACTGCACTAACAAAATCATTTTTAATGCGATTGTAGAAAACTACACCAACAAATATTTAAATGGCGTGGTTCTTTTGTTTATTGATAAGGAAACAAATTTTGATGATTTTATAATGTGGTTTAAGGCAGTAGCGGAGCTAGACGGGGAGTTAGGGATACAGTTGTACCCCCGAAATAAAATTTATATATTAAACTTTGTATATTAGTTTTCTATATGTAAGTAAGCTTAACTACCTTGCACCCCCAGCTCGAAACATTAAGGTGTTGTTTGTTTTTTGGAAAAAACCTCTTCAGACCTCTTATTGCTGCGCGGCGCAGCACACGCGCAACACTTTTCATCTTGCAGTTTGTTTGTTTTTCAGAAGTCTTCGGATTAAAAAACCTCTGTGCGTATTCTTCTTAGCGCAACACTTGTTTTGCCTCTTCTTACCTCTTCCAATCTCTTCTTCTTCTTTTTTTCTTGCTAAAATATTGATTATATATTGCTAAAATCTTATTTCACATTTTTTTTTCGTTTATTCTTGTTGAAAATTTTTTTTTATATTGAATAATAATAATTTGTTGATGAAATATCATTATTCTATGCTAAAATATCTTTATTTTTTTGTTAAAATATCATTATTTTTTGCTGAAATATCATAAATTCTTGCCGAAATATCATACATTATTAAATTTTCGGTATTATAAAATATTTGCGGATTATAAAATCAATTTATTTTAATTTTTTAATATCTGTACCAGCATGCAGATGTTAAAAAAACAAACACACTTCTTATTACAGTTTGCAGCCGTTTGGTCCACCTCTTCTACTGCAGAGAGTTGCAGAGGTGGTCCACAGACTTTATGAATTTTTGCTTCAAAAAAACAAACAACACTTAAATCTTGTTGCCAACCTTTTTTTCTTCTCATGAATCGAAGTGATTGCTGCCGAGAGTTTAGAGACAATAGCAAGATCGGTATTCCACCACCCATTAGAAAATTTTTGTTAAAAAATACAGTTTCAAGAGGCTTCATGTTTTTATCCAGATTTTGATTGTTTAAATGTTATTTTAAATTTCGATTATGTTTGTACCCCGTATTAATAATATTCCTGGCTCCGCCACTGGTTTAAGGATATAACTGCATCAGTTAAAAAAAACTCATCGCACCAACAAAGGTTATTGTGGTGGTATATATTGTGCATATGATGATATGTAAAGCTAAAGTGTTACATTTCAAAATTTTGTTGAGGGCCGGCTTAATTAAAAATGTTCAAATTGTACAAAAGGGGCTTCTGGACGTTCGGTTGGCAATTGTTGTCATTCCAACCATTTGACAAAGTAGGATTTGATATACTAGCACGTTATATTTGTCAAAACATGTATCAATAAATTAAATTGTCATATTATTTTGGAACAACTGATAGTAAATTAAGATTTAAAAAAAAAAAAAAAAAAAAAAAAACTTATTTAAAAGGTATTAGAACTACAATTACAAAATATTTAACTTTTTACAAAATAAAATGAATAGTGTTTAGTCCATAATGCAGTATATATATGTTACAACTTGTAATAATCTTTTGTGTTGTTGGAAGTCAATGCATACATTGCTAGCTCTCTTGTCTATTGATTTCAAGAGAGCTTAATGATAATCTAAGAATACATGTAAAGTATCGTCTCCTAGAATATCGAACGTATATTCTTTTATGATACATAAACTATGTGAGTCATGAACTGAACATCGTGGTTAACCATCCTGATTAGTGTCTTGATGAACTTTTATCGACTGATAAGAAATCTATGAATGGTACAACGTGAATGTCTCTCCTTTTTTGTTCGGGTGCTTCTTGCTCCACCTCGACCTCTTCTTTTTTTGCATGATCGATTACTTCACTCCCGTTAGAGTCCGTATTTACAGGGAGAAAATTGTAAAACTCCACCCGCTGATCTCGTTTATCTAAAGCCCGATAATCAATTAATAAGAGAAAATAATCAAAACTAAAATAATAACAAATTGATACCAATGTGCTTAATTGGTATGTTTGCTTAGCAGCAGGAAGATGATAATATATGTTTGATGGACTGAATTGAACGGAACTGGTAGACATGCAAATGACGTCGTCCTAATTATCTAATCCCAGCATGTCAAAACAGACAATACAAATTCTAATAGGTTAGTGGGTATACCTTCATTTATCTTGAATTGATGAAACAGATTCATGGAGAGTTGTAGATGTGATGCAAGATTTCTTGAAAGCTCATAAGGAAAATAAGTGTATGGATATCTTTCCGCAAATGCATGATGATGATGATGATGAGTAGCAGCATCATTGGTTCTCAGGAGGCCATGCATCCTTGTTGACTTTTCTCTAACCCTTCGAGCCATGATCACATGCCAATGGTTCTTCACAGCGTTATCAGTTCGACCCGGGAAAAGCTTGGCGATGTTAGCCCATCGTTTCCAAATTCACGATGATAAGCTAGAAGCCGTTCCTCTTCCTCTTCTGTGAATGGCGTTCGGTTGATCTTTGGATCCAGTTGGTTGAACCATCTTAACCTACAACTTTTTCCTGTTCGAAAATCATACAATTCATATTACTAATTAATTAATTACGTACGAAGATATACAATCCATATAACAAATAAGCAAAGATCATCTAACGAAAACTACAGCAAACGAATAAAACTATGTAATTAATTCTTTCGATTATGAAAGTAAACAATGACGTTTTATCAATATATCTCCTAATTCGTTCAAAAGAAAAATGCGAAATTCATCAAACGAAAGTACATGAAACGAATACTAACTCTTGGAATTAATACGTAGCAAGTAAGTTGAAATTTTCGGAAAGGATAACCTGTGAGAGGAGGATCGATCATAACTTATGTAATGAAATTAACAAGATCTGATCTGCTTAATGGCGTTCCACGGATAACCAACAAAATGATCAGTGCAGGCATATTACTTTCGAATATTTCAGACGAGGACGAAGCAATGAAGTTGATAATTTCGCAAATCAAAGAAGAATACGAAGCAAGTAATTAAGTTGCGTATTTCGAAAATGACAGAAGAATGACGAACATAATGACAGCTGATCTACTTGGAGTTGGAGCTATGTCAATATTCCAGAACGATGACAAACCATGAATTGAGTTGCATATCTCGAAAATCACAGACGGATACGACCATAGGAAACAAATAGTTTTTCAGAAATGAAGACTGATATCATAACGATCGAACAAGACAATTATACCTGATCTGCCTTGGAGCTTTTCAGCTATGGCGTTCCAGTTATGAGGTCCGTACTGTTCAACCAGTTGTCGGAGCTTCTGGTCCTCCGAGGGCCTCCAATGACCGCGGCTGCACATTGTGAAGAAAGTGTATACGTAGGAGTTGAAGTTGGAGTTGGAGATGAAAAAGTAAAGAAAAAGGAGAGGGAGAGGGAAGGTCTTGTGGTCTTTGATGGTGAGATTGATATATAGGAGGAGATCGAGTCTGGAGGTACCGTAGGAGTTGGTTTCTGTTAAGAAGAGTGTACCAGAAACTGATGCAACGTCTAGGCTAACTAAAACTAGCATATTTTCTATGCATCTTGGTACATCCATCCACTATATATAAATTAATAATTAATAAATAAAATCACTTCTGGATATATAAAAGTTAAAATATTAATTAACAGTTTGTAAATTTTGCATGTTCGAATTTTATTATGTTATTGCCTTTCAATGCACATTTTTATAAAATAAAAATAAATAAATAAATAAAAATTAAAAAAAAAACATATTTTAGAAGTGTGTTATCAAATAAGAAACTCAAATACATAAAAATTCGAAGTTATCAAATACATTATAATGCATTGAACTTTAATTAATTAAAAAATTATTTTTTATCAACAAACAAATCATTATTCTACTTTTCATACAATATACAATTCTATTATTTTTTCCTGAATTCTACAAAAATCCGATAAAACATTTATTTTAAACTTAAAAAAGTTTTATTTTTCCTGTTAAACTCCATATTCATTTAGCACCAACTGGACACTCATACATTTGATGTCAATTAGACATTCAATATTATTCAAATTTCAATTAAACTATATATTGTAGACACTCTTATTTTGTAATTTTTTCTAAGAAGTATCTTATTTTGTTATAAACGTATAAGTGATTTTAAAGATATATTTTTCAAAAAAAAAAGACCAACTAAAATATTTTAATATATATGTATAAAATATCTTTCATTATATATATCTACACGTGTGTGTTAAGTGAGTGGAGTATATGTGTTTAAGGGTGGAGGAGGGGAGTTGCTTGGTGGGATAAATTCCGTTCTCCTTTCAACGTCTTTCCAAGTTTCTAACCTACAACGTCTACTTATAAACAACCTTAGTCTTAATAACTAAATGAATAATAATGAATTAGTTGAATAGAACATACCATATGCTTTTAAAAAATATATTATATGACATGTTTAATAAGCAAAATCAAATAAATTAAATCATGATTTGATGATAACAATGGATTATATATAAATCAAACAAAAAGATATTTTGGTTAAATCTTATTTTTTAAATATATATTAAAAATCAACTTTTAAGAATCTATATGTATTAACAAAGATAAACGAAAGGGATGAGAGGTTGGTAATGTTGTTAGAATCCGTAAAGATGAGGGTATGTGTTTATTAGGTCTGGATCACCTTTCAAACCTAACTAACACCTTACACTTAAACTTCCCCCCGCATGCTTCCTTTGGAATATATATATTTGTTTATCCCTCTTTTGATAACCTACAAAGACATGTTTTCTTACCCATATCAGAAACCTCTTAAGAATTTCACGTGATATATAGTTCGATATTAATTTTCAATTACTAATCAAATATTTTACTCAAGTGGAAAGTTATCACCATATATACAACCGCAGTACCGCAAACCCTGTTTTTCTTTTTCCCCAGAGGTCACAACACTAGAAGATGATACTAAAGTTAATTGGTATTATTCCCATACCGTCCCTTCTCATTAATTGAAACAATATATATATATATGACAAATACATGGACCAAGCCACCTATAACATATACATGGGCTGGATAAATACAAAACAATACATACATAATATTCTAGACTAACAGCTCCACACAGTTGGAATGGGAGGCAATTACCAAACATTCAAACTATATCTAAAATTTAAAAACAAAAATGATGGAAGGCCTTTGGTGAAGATATTTGCGTACTGCGAAGAGGAATGAACATGCAAAACTCGAATCTCACCGAGAGCCACTTTGTCACGAACAAAATGAATATCGATTTCAATATTTTTCGTGAGTTGGTGTTGAAATGGATTATTGGACAAATAAACGGCACTGACATTATCACAACAGACTATAGTGGCATGAGTAGTAGGATCGTGTATTTCCAACAATAAATTATAAATCCATGAAACTTGTGCTACAACATTAGCAATACCTCTATATTCAGCCTCGAGAGCCACTTTGTCACGAACAAAATGAATATCGATTTCAATATTTTTCGTGAGTTGGTGTTGAACTGGATTATTGGACAAATAGACGGCACTGACATTATCACAACAGACTATAGTGGCATGAGTAGTAGGACCGTGTATTTCCAACAATAAATTATGAATCCATGAAACTTGTGCTACAACATTAGCAATACCTTTATATTCAGCCTCAACAGTGAACGAGAAATAGTACCTTGAGAGACAGGTGGACCGAAGTCATCCAGTTTTGCTAATGTATAGAAAGGAGTTTTAGTTGGTTTTCAGTTGATCATGTTTGCTCGAGATAGAATCTCGATGACATACTTGCGCTAAGATAAGAACATGCATTTATAATCTCTGACCACACACACTCCCAAAAAATAGTAGAGATCCCCAAGATCTGCCATAGCAAACTCTATCCCAAGAGTTGAAGCAAAAACTGAGAAAATCGATGAAACCAAGCACGTGGGGCTTGTTTAAGACTGTATAGAGAGAGATGCAAAAGACAAATGTGGTTAGGAAAACATGGGCACGAAACCCCGAAGGCTGATGCATGTAAACTGTCTCCTATAAATGTTCGTGTAAAAAGGCATTTTTTACATCAAGTGGACGAATCGGCCAATGCTGATGTAACATCCCAAATTCCAAAATAAAATTTTCATTTTTGAAATAGAATAAACATCCATTTTTATAAGGTTACATTTAAGTCAAACCAATTGTACATAAGCCATAATTCAAAATCAGCGTTATAAGGAAGACAATGTGGAATCTCAAATTATAAAACTGTTGATGTGTGTGTACAGTCCCGCCTTCGTAATACGATAAGTACCTGAAAAACATTTAATCCACAAATATAAGCACAAAGCTTAATGAGTTCCCAAAATATCACATACATCACCTATAGGTTATCAACAACCATGGGACTATCAACGGTCTTAAATATCACATACAACACAACAATATAAACATTTATGGGTTATCAGCAACCATGGGACTTTCAGCAACCTATGGGCCTATAGCAGCCCTATGGGTTATCAGCAATCCTGCAAACTATCAACAACCTTGTAGACTATCAATAGTCCTCGAGTTATCAGCAACTCAGATACACATATAACAAGACTCAGCTAGTCTAGCATGCACACCACTATGACATATGTAATATAGTGAGAAGACTCACCTGAACGAAGAGCTGAAATCCATTACTCAAAGTCCCACAGAATCAGCTACACGAACCTCCTAAATCAATCACAAGCTAAACCTCATATTATAGCTCAACACCTCTCCAAGGTTGATCAAAAGTCAAATTGGTCAAAAAGTCAACAGCCAAAGTCAACCCCAACTGATCTCCACGTTGTGGACACCCAAAGGCCACGTCGTGGCAACTACATGACAAAACAGTTATGGTGACACTAGCCTCCACGTCGTGGCGAGCAACATGCAATGTCATGGGAACTAATTCCAATAGCTTAATGGGTTAAGCACTTAAACCTTATACCCAAGCTTCCAACTTTTCAGATTTGGTACCTAATAACTTCAAAATAGATAAAGTTTCTAACTTTATCCATTAGGATGGTCCAAACAACCAAATATCTAAAATTTAAGTCTCAAAATGTAACATCCCGACTCCCATGTATAATATTTATATATTTATGAGTTGTATGAGCAACTCGACGAGTTGGATGCCCCAACTCGCCGAGTAGAGGCAGATTGACCACGTGGGTTTTATGACCAACTCGGCGAGTTAGCGCTGTGAGAGGAAAACCTAATTCTTCGGGGTTGGATACTATTTAAAGGACCTTAAGCCCTCATTTCCGCCTCACCAGCCACCTTATTTCCCTGTGTGAAACCCTAATCGCCTATATTGAGCTAAGAGAGAGAGAGAGAGAGAGAGAGAGAGAGAAAGCTAATATTTGGGCATTTTAGTGCACTTTTTGAAGAGAAGAATGGAGAATCCAAGCAAGGAACGAGAAGAGACTGTTGGATCTGGTGTTATTTCATCTAGAGCTTCTATTGAAGGTAAAAAGTCTCCACCTTGCTCATTAGTTTGATTAGATCTCATTTTATGGAGTTTTAGGGCTCATTCCATCTTTCCTTGAGGCCTTGAGTGTGTTGAGCTTACCAAGAGATTTAGACTTCAGACCTGGACCTTGTGAGGTCCCTAGAGTCCAAAGGTCCCATCTTTATCCGGTCATAGAGGAGCTTGTGTGCTTAAGACCCTAAATGGAACTTGTTTTGGCATTTCAATCCCTAAGTGCCATGCATGGACGTAAAGCTTGTAGCTTTACGTGGTATCTCAGCCTTGGGAGGCTAGATCTAGAGTTTTGGGTTGTATATCTTCCTTAAAACGTCTGAATGAGAATAAAGTCTGAAAGGACTCGACGAGTCGGAGGACTGACTCGACGAGTCGGTCAGGGTTTCCCCGACGAGTCTGCACACGTATGACTCGGCAAGTTGATGAGACAACTCGACGAGCTAAGGGGGACTTTCACGACATTTCTGGAGATAGGGGGACTCGGCGAGTCACATCGGTGCACTCGACGACTCGGGTCAACATGGACTGTTGACTCGAGTGTTGACTTCTGTTGACTTTAGGGTTTGGTCAAGACAAAGAATAGGGAGACCATGGAGGGGTAAAATGGTCTTTTACCCATTCCAAGAGATTTAAGAGAGAAAATAGCTTGATTTACTTAGAGTTGTGATTTAAGTGTTAATTAGAGATAATTATCGTATGTGTTAGGCGGAGGCTAGATCGGTGATTCGTGTACGAGGTTTACTTGCTTGCTTACGAGGTGAGTCTTCTCACTATACTTACCTTGAGTGGTAATCTGTGCGACCGGAGGGTCTTGTATGCTATTATTGAGTATTGTGATATCCTGCATTATGTCTTTGTGATTTATGTTGTGTATTATTCTGAGCTTTGCTGAGTTAGGGTCGGAGGGTCCACCCGAGTTGTGGGACCGGAGGGTCCTACTGAGACACATTGACCGGAGGGTCTTATTTGAGATATAGCCATGAGAGGCTAATGAGATGTGTATGGTATTTTGGGGAACTCACCAAGCTTTGTGCTTACCGTGT